CCACTACTGTTTACCACATCAAGTTTTCATCTCTTTACAAAAGGCTGATGCTTATCTGACCTGGCCAAAGGTCATGTTTGCATCGTGCACTGGTACAACAGTCTTAGGAAGAGAACTAAGTTCAATTATAGAGCTGGTACATCAAATATTAAAACCGTCACTTGTGCTTAGTTTTTCCTGGAAAAAGGTAAACTTGGGTGTTCTTTTAAGAATTTATGTAATATGAAGTGGCAGAATTACCATTGCTTTCATCCTGTATCTACTGCTATAGTAGAACTCTATCCTTACCTAATTTATAAAATTTATACATGTTAAATATGGGAAGGCCTAGATCTGTGCACACCAGGGCACATTGTAATACATGAGAAATCACCCTTTCCTTCCCCCACATCCCTCCCAGCCCCTGCCCAGAGTCATGGTCTAAGATAACATGACTAATGTTCCAGAGGGAAGGCATCAATTGTGTTGCTTTTCTAGCCAAGATGAAGGATTCACTCATTCGCTCACTGGATAGCATTTGATCCTAAGTCCCAAGATCTGCCTTGATTGCTGGGGAGGAGAAATGAACAATACAGGAAGCCTACTACGAAGGGTTTTCTGTTTGAGAAGAAGAGATCAAACACACTTAAAAAAAATTTACAATGCAATGGGACAATCAAGTATGCACATTTTCTAGAAGATAGAGCAATTGTTTTCCTATCAGTGGAGAAGGCTCGCAGGGAAGGAACAACATGGAGAAGACTGCTTGGAAGGGAGCCGGCAGGACAGGTAAAATCTGCATTTGTGGAGATGGGCCCAGTTAAGTATTTTAGGAGGAAGAAACTAAATGGGAAAAGGCTGGAAGCAAAAAGGGCTGGAAGCTCTGTGTGCCAGTGTGTGTGTAAGTGGTGGTGAGGGTGGAGGGCTGGAGGTGCAGTCTGTGGCGCAGCCCATGAGGGCTCGATCACAGAACCAGGAAGGACAGTTGGACAGCTGAACAGTTTGGACTTAACGCAGTTGATATCATGAAACTTCAGAAGTTTCAGAGGATGATGTGGCAGGCTACCCTTTGAGAAGATGAATTTGGTCAATAGGTTGAGAGTAGTGTTGAATTGAAGAGCTGGGAGAATGTACGAGAATATGAAATCTAAGAACCTATTGTACAGATAAAGAACTTGAGACCAGAGAGAAAGTGACTTGCTCTGAGGTTACACAGCAATTTGAGGGCAAGGAAAGGATTACTCACCTTCCTCTCCTCTGCCTCCCTTGCCAATCCTGGTTCTACTTCCAAATGGTCAGGCTCCTGTTATTCTTCCTCTCCCTTCCTCTGGTCTGCTGACATTCAGGCCTTATCTCTTGAGGGAGATGTCTGATTTTATTTAAACACATAGGGCCTATACCTCCTGCATAATCTTCTGCCTTTGACCAGGAGGAAGAAGGGGTGGGGGGAACCAGCTGGATGTGTACAATGATCAAGGCAGGCACTGTGTTAAGGACTCAGGGACAAATTAGCCCCAGTCCACTAGTAGAGAAAGACAAGGTGATCAATGACATAATCCAGAGTCACACGGACTGAGGGTAAGCAGAGTGACAGGAATATCTTTGTGGGGCAAGGCATCCATTGGGAGGTGGTGATAGGTGCAAAAAGGAGGTGATAGTTTTGGGGAGTCCGAAGAGGTTAGGTAAGGGTTGCCAGGTGGATGGAGAAGGAAGGGCATTGCTGTGAGAAAGAAGAATCCATGAGAAGGCAGATGAATGCAGATAGGCAAGAAGTGTTTGGAAAACCACGAGACCTCCGTTGGCTGCAGGGTGGTTGTGTGGGCAAGATGGGCAGAGATGAGGCTGAAGGGCTGTGCTAACCACACCAAAGGAGTTTGGCCTGATGCGTTTAAGCTGGGTAGAAGCAATATCACGTTGGTGTTTAGCTTCCATCTTCCCTGCTCCTCTTGTCCTTAGTGGTTCTCCGATAGCCTCTTCATAGCTATTCCCTTTGGTCAGCTGTGGCGGATTATGAGTTCTGCACACTGGAGTGTTCTCACTGAGACCAGATGTTCACTCAGCAGCGGGTGAGCTAGTGCTGGGCTGCCTGGGCTCGGAGGGGGAGTCTCAGCTTCCCCATGTACCAGCTCTGTGTTAAGAGCAAGCTACTTAACCTCCCTGGGCTTTACTTTCCTTGTGGGCAAAAGGGCAAAATAGAGAAAAATAATACTGTTGACCTTAGAAAGGTTTTGTGAGGTTAAATACAAAGCATATGAAAAGTCTTCAGAATACTTCCTCGCTTCCCTTAAGCACGGGGACTGGACTGCCAGGAGCTACACAGAGGCCTTTGGGTAAGGGGCTGTAGCGGATGGAAGGGAATGGTGGGACCACAGCCCGCCTTCCTGGAAGTTGTGTGTGCCATCACTGGAACAGTGAGAATGCTTTTGTAGGCCTTCAGACCACCAGCTTGCCATCCCGGGATCACAGGACCTCTGCCCCACCTGAAATCCTGTGCTTCCTTTAGCCTCTGGATGGGTAATCCTATATTTCTCTGGCATTGAGTCTGCAAATTTACACAATGTTTCCTTCTTTCTTAAGCCCCTGAACACAGCAGGTTTTAGTGGGCATGTTGAAAAAAGTGAGAATACAAAAGAAACCAGATCAGCAAATGAGAATGAGGCTTTTGACTTGGGTTTGCACTGATGACTACCCCACATGCCCTTGACCAAGCAAGCATCCAATTTATGACTCTGCTTCTTATACTCCTGGTGAGTGCCTCATGAGTTGAAATGATCTTTCCTGATTAACTTTAATGCTTGTGCTAACACCATGCCCACCTGAGCAATTCCTCAATATCTCAGGAGAAGAAACATAGGGATCTTCCCCAACACACCCATACAACAGTTTCAACATAATTAGTAGCATTTCTGGATCCAACACAGCACTCTTATAATGTGTATGATAGAGGAAATGAATGACTCTAATTATACCTTATTAAATCTTATTAATCCTCATTAGAAGCCTATTATCCTTTATAAGTGGGTTACTAGGGAAAAGAAAAAAAGAAATGCTGGTCAAGCCCCGTTATATTGGATGGGGATTGGGTGAACCCATTCTTACTTTGAGGGATACCAGGGTTTTTTGGTATTAAACAACAGCATTCAGAATACGAGTTTGCTGCAATGTTGAAGATAGACTAAGTGAACTGTGTTGTAATAGGATCTGACTCTTGAAAGCCCCAGGACAAAATCTCTTTTAAGAGCTCATATTTCCTATTTCAAACTGTATTATTAGTTGCAAAGAAAAAAATATTTCATGATTGCATGGCATGGGTACTCTTTACCTTATCTCTGCTATTTCCAATTTTTGCAGGTGTAGCTGGGAAATTGAGAGGAAGAGAGATTAAGTAATCTGAACCCGGGAATGTCTGAATTAAAAGACTCTGCACAAAGAAGGTGCTCAAGAAACGGTAAGTGTAATAACCTGTGTTTCTACATTCACTTCTTTAATTCTTGGTTGAAAAAAATCCCTCCAAATCCAAGAAGAACCAAGTTCTGGAATTTTCAAGAATAGGTACTCTCAACATCCATGAATGGGAATTATGTCCTGCTGGGAGTGAGGGCCTCCTTATTGGGTGGACACCCGCGCCCACCATTAGTCATGCGACCTGGATAGGGGGAGGTGAGTTCATGTGTTAGCTCAGTCCTTTATCTTGTGTTGGGCAAATCACTTTACTTGTTTTTTATCCTCAGATATTAAAGAGGGATTACACTTTGTCCCACCTAACACAAAGACCTAATAAACCCGTGAAAAAGCACTTTCATGATGTGCTGAGGTGAGGGATGATTATTTTAGGTACAGGAGGCCAGAAATACAAAGAAACAAACTCTACAGCCTTGAGTGCCTTCCAGGCACTAGCTGCTGAACATTACAACCTCTTGACAAAGTAAATGGTGGTTTTCATGGTTGCTCGTATTTACAAATGTCAGAGGGAAAAAAAAATCCGACTCAAACCTTCCAAGAACAGGCTTGCCTCTACTCAAACCAGTTCACCCAGTTCACAGATTTTTTTTTTTTTCCTTTTTTTTTTTTTTGAAGCTGTAAGCTCACAGCAAGCTTTCTGGGCTTCTGGGACAAGCCTGGGAAGTAAATGCTAAACTGCAGGGGTTCTTCTGAGTACAGGACAGGGGAAGCTGCCCTGAAGCAAATGATTGTCACAGCTACTCAGGGCTGTCAATCAGAACCTTCCAGGAACTGACTCTGGGACCAAGAGAAGTTGGCAAGCTCTTCACAGGGTGGTCCGCGTTGTCCAGGGACACATAGCCTGTTTCATGGCTCAGTGGGACGAAAGGGGTCCCCTAGGGCCCTGCCTGGCAGCGGGAACGCGGCTGGGAGCCTAAGCATCCGGGTCCCGCGCTTGGATCTGTGTTGTGTATGACCCTGGGCACGTCATTTTTCTTCCCAGGGCTTCGGTTTTCTGCGTGAAGTGGGAGAGTTTGGAAGTTGGTCTTTGCCAGCTCTGCCATCCAGTAGGTTCATGAATGTTGCTGGGAATCCAGGGCGAGGCTCAGGAGCGAGATCTCGAAGGGAATTCCATGGCAGGGTGTCTTCTGCTGAGGCTCAGCGCCCTAAATTGGCGCTTCCATAGTAGACACGGTCCCCCCATTTCTTCAGTAGCCCCTCCACTCAGCCGCTTCCTCCTTCTACGTCTGCTTCCTCTTCCTCCAGCGCAGGCAAAGCCTCCACACCTCCCTCTTTCCCTTCCTCCTTTGCAAGCTCCCTGCATCCCCGCGTCTCCTCCTCTTCCTCCCAGGAAGTAACATGCCCTCCGCGCGCCCACCTTCTGGCCTAGCTGCAGCCCTAGCTGGCGCCCCCTCCCCCGCCAGGCGAGCGCTGCGCGGCGGCCCCGCGGGCACACGCTCTCCCATACCTTACATGGACAAATGCGTACAGGCAAAGTCAGGAATTCAGGCCCCTGACGTCAGCCTCCAGCTCTCAGGGCACCGCACGGGAGCCCGAGGGGAGGGGGTGGGGACGGTGGGGAGGAAGGAGGGGGAAAGGCACCAACCAGCAGCCGCTCCAGCCCTGCCGAAGTTTCACTTTTTGTCTGTGGGTCCGCTCCCGGGCCCCGCGCGAGCTTTCCCGGGATAAGTAGCGTTAGCGAGCAGGGGAGAGCCGGGCGCTGCAAGGTAAGGGCTGGCTGCACGGCCCGGGGCGCGGGGCGCGGGGCGCGGTGCGGGGCGCGGGGCCGGGCCTGTCCGGGGCCGGGGACAATGGGAGGGGGAGTGCCCGGGCACCTCCTCCTTCGCCTCTGCCTCCGCCTCCAGCCGCCGCCGCCGCCGCCGCCGCCGCCGCCGCCGCTGCCCCGGCTGCCTCCTCCCCGAGGTATTGTTGCAAATCCTCCTTCCTTCCCCCCACCCTCCGCTCGCGGGCGCCTCGGGAACCCCCGGCCCTCCCCTGGCGCGAGCGCCTCCGGGGAGGCAGGAGCGCGGGGCGCAGGGCGCGGAGTGCGCGCCCAGCCCGGGCCCCAGGGCCCGCGGTGCGGAAGTGCCGGCCGCGGCGCAATCACGGGGTGCACGCATGGGGGTGGGGGACCCCGAGGTTTCGGGAAGCGCGGACCTGGGGCTGGGCGGGGTTGGCGCCCTTCCCTGAGCGCCCCCTGCCCGGGCTTTTCAGGGCGTCCAGGGGGCGGGGCCACACCCAGCCGCTGGGAGCTTTCGCGGAATCCCAGTTGTCACAGTGGGAAGGGCCTAGGAACCCGGTAATTCGAGTCCCCCCATTTTACAGTCAGCTCAGTTGAGGCCCAGAGAGAAGGAGGGCCTCCCCGGAGTCACTCCGTAGAGGCCGAGCCATAACTGACATGGAAGGTTCCCAACTCCTGGTTCTTTTTCTCCAAGCATTTCTTCAGCACCCACTGTGTGCCACGCGTTGTGCTGGGTGTGCGGGGTCAGAGAGGCTGGTGGGGCCCAGTCCCTGCCCTCAGGGAGCACGCAGTCAACCGAGGTGCCCAAGCTGACCCGAGTGCAGAGTGCGGGGGGGTGAGGGGGGTGGGAAAGCCATGGATAAAGTTTTCAGGCGCTTAAGGGAAGGAGTTTGATTTCTCCCTTTGGAGGGGCCGCGCTTGATCAAGGCTTTGAAGGATAGGGGGTTTCCTGAAGCCAGCCAGCGACAGGAAGGCCATTTGCGCGGGGGTGGGGGTGGGGAATGCAGAGGAGAGAAGACTAAATAAAGTGTGGAGAGTGGAGATGAAACTGTAAATGTGACTGTGTTGCGGGCATAGGGTTGGATGGAGGGGGTACATGAGATGAGATAAAGAGTGGAATTGTGCCTGAGTACTCGACAGAGCGACGCCTTTGGGACTAGGGAGTGCTCCGGGAACTGAAAGGGCTCTCTGGCTTCCCTTCCCCTCCCAGGGATTCACTGCCTTCCTGCCCTCAACACAAAATGCAAAAATGTAGGGTCATCCCTGAGCTGCTTTCCTAGTACAAGACTCACTTAACTTTGTTTCCATTACCCTTTTCTAAATTGTTTGCCTCCTAATGAAACTCATTTTCACTAAGGTGTTAGTGACTTAATGGCTTACCTTTCCCAGCACTTGTGCATTTTTAAGAAAGTCTCTAGACAGAAGGAGGGAAAGCAGCTAACTGCCCCCCACCCCCAATTCCTTACCCTCCCTCACTCTTACAGGTAGGAAAACAAACGCAGAGGCCCAGAGGAGGTGGGTGCTGGTTCTGGAGCCTACAGTGAGTAATGGTGGATGGTGGGGGGCCCAGAACTCAAAACAGGGTTCTCTCCACTCCACAGCCAGCCTTCCGTCCTTCCGGGTTCCTGCCAGCACCAGGGGTCAGTTAAAAGGAAGAGTGTGTATCCTGAATTTAATCTTTGCAAGGCAGTCCCCCATGCACAACACCCAGGCTTTTATAGTCTAGAATGTAGACTCTAGATGGGAGATGAGTAGTTGGGGTTAGCTGTCTGGTTGAGGGTACAGGCCTGGGCCCTTTGGGTCAGGCATTCTCCCAGGTTTCTGCTCCTTGTAAGCAGTGGGTGGGCCTAGAGTTGGCTTTGGGGATGGTTGGAGGGAGGAGAAGCTGAGGTGCTGAGCTGGTTACTACGGCTGGGACTGAGTAGGACTCTTTTTGTGGTGACATGTTCTGGTGGAGAAGTCACTGTTCTGGGAAGGTGGACAGTTCCAGACAGTGGTTGGTGGAGAGGAGGCTTCATTATGAAGGGAGTTGGGATGTGACTTGAAGTCCTCTTTTGAGGGTTTTGATCAGGCTGGGACATGATTGAGAGGGGGAGGAACTGGCATTGGGAGGCCTCCTGCCGCCCAATTCCAGTGAGAGAGGCAATAATTTGGCCTAAGAGTATTCTCAGTGGGTGTTCATTCATTTACTTGGCATATATTACCAAGTACCTATTATGGGCCATTGGCAAATATGAAAAATTTGTAGCAGGTTTCTAAATTTACTGAGACAAATAAATTTTATTTCATTAATTCTAAAACACTTCACATTTTAATATGACTGAAATTGGGTTCTCATAATCACAGATGTGTCATGGCCGAGCAGTTTTTCATTCTAAGTTGATAATGGTACATCTTAACAGTTGATGGTTAGATTTGATAAAATTTCTGCATTATACCCTTTATGAATGTGCAGGGCTCTGCACTTGATTAAACAGTTTCCCATCAGATATTCCATTTGGGTATCAAACAGTCCCCCCGAGAACTGGGCCTGGTGACACTGTCATCAGCATGTGAACCTTTGCCCAAGGTCACAGGGCTAATTAGAGATGTGCTCAAAATTACAGCCCAGAACTTTGATCTTGGTGTTAATATGTGACTTTACTTCACTGTGAACTTGGCACCGGTTAATTGGGAACAGGGAAGAGTCCGGTTGGATTTGATTTCAGAACTATGGCTTAAGATGCTGGGATAATGATGGGTTTTTGGTCAAGAGAGATGATGCCTGGTGACCTGGTAAAAGCAGGGGATGGAACACACAGCTAATTTGTGCAGAGAAAGGAGAAGAGCAGTGTGTGAGGTTCACAAGTTCTGCAACTGGCTGGCCCCAGGAGTACAAAGATGAGGGAACACAGCCCCTGTCCTCCTTGAGAGCACAAGTGTGTGTGTGTGTGTGTGTGTGTGTGTGTGTGTGTGTGCTGTTATAAGGGTATGTTTTGGCTGCTCTGCATTGAGGAGGGTCGACTTCAGGGAAGCAACCACAGAGGGAGTGGTGTCTGAAGAGAATCTTTAGGGCTGAGTAGGACTTGGCCACGTGGAAGAAGGACAGGTAAGACACCGATGTGATGTGTTAGGCATATGCAGCCACAGGGAAGGTTTATGCATGAGGCTGTGTTTGGAATGAGCAGCGCGAAGGGGGCTGTGGGAAATGGAGATTTAAAAATTTAATTTGCTAAGTAGATTTAAATTTATCTTGTAGGCTAAAGGGTCATTACATGCTTCTCTAGAGATTGACTTGAGAACGCACTGGGGCGGGGGTTCTGGAAGTGTTGCTGGGATTAGGCATTTGGATGGTAATGCAGGAAGCACAGTAACACATTTAGTAACTGTTTAAATGAAGCTGAGACTTTGACCCTGGTCCGTAATTAGGAGTCCTAGCGTAGTGTGTGCATTGGTGGGGACTTTTCCTGGAATGTGGCGTTGGAAGGCTGCGCCTTGCTGGAAGAAACCCTGGTGAGGAAGGAGGAGGTAAAGCTGTGTTGCAGGTTGGAAGCTGCTATCTGAGTGGAAGACTGTGGGCTTGAAGGTGTGTATGAGCTAAAGGTGAGGCAAGGGGGAAGGCTCGGAGCAGAAGTGTGGTATGGGAGTCTGGTCCACACTTCCTGGATGTGTGGTGCGAATGGCTGGTACATTCCTTTGTGGGTCACAGAAATGAGACAGAACACTGATGTACTGATGAGGACTTCACCTCTCCTCACTGTCTGTGAATAGGGTGGGCGGGTGTCAGGAGGCTTAATGGGATTCATGCCTGGCAGCAGGTAAACCACAGAATGGAAGCTGGAAAATGTTTATCTTTTTATCATTCTTTCTTAATAACAGTAATAATAATATAATAATAATTTTGACAGTTTTCTGAGTGCTTCCCAGGTGCTTATGTAATTCTCATACTGATGGATTAAAGGAGGCTTTATGATTTTCGGTCTTACTTTGCAGATGAGAAAATGAATTTTTTGTTAAGTAAGGTCACACAACTGCTAGTGACATGGCTAAGTTTTCAGCCTTTGCCTGATCTATAGCTTCATCACTGTTCTCTGTGTCCACAGAATGGAAATGCAAATCAGTGGTGTTTTCCAGTGCCCTTCCTTGGAATTTAATTCAGTTCACATGCACCGGGCCCGGTGGGATCACAGTCGAGGGTTTAAGTGCTCGAACAGGCTTCTTACTTCCACATGCTGCTGCCCAGCCCCTTCTCTCTCAAGATACTACCATTCCCTCTACCTGTTGCGTGTCTTCTCTCCCCAAACCTAGCCAGACAGAACAGAGCCTCTCCAGCAAACCATTGGCCCCTCCCCCCCACATTGTTCCCTCCTCTGTAGTGATAAGGCTTTGATGTATCCCTATAGAGAGGCAGTTGGGGCAATAAAATCACTCAAGAAGGGAAGTGAGGGAGGGTCTTGATCCCTGTCCTTGCCCTTGACCTGTGGCTCCTTCCACAATGCTGGATGTCCTCTGGACTTGAGCTGAAGAGCTCCTGTTGGATCCTGCCTGCTCTTCTTCCCGTCACGCGCACACCTTCCTGCAAGTTGGCTTTCCAGCTCAGGACTCTGGGGGATCAACTCCAGTTCTTCCTGTGGCCTACCTGCCTCAGGTGGATCATTTGCATTTCACTGACTCAGAGATAAAGGCATTTTCAGGTGTGGAGACAGATGCTAGGACTGGCACTCAGCAAAGTAAATAGGACCTTGCCTATCTCATCTTTGAATCCCTCTGGTCTCTGGTGCTCTGAAGATGTTCAGTACTATTTGTTCAATGAATGAACCGCACTCACTGACACAATGTAGGCACCAATCACCCCTTGACTTTATATGTTTGCTAATCTTTGTCCCTGCTCCACTTTAAAATAAGCTTCTCGAGGATTGCAAAAATGCCTGCCTTGTGAATGACCATATCCCCAGGCCCAGAAGAGTGCCTGTCACATGGTAGGTGCTTTGGAAGCATTGGTTTGAT